CTCCGTCTCTGGAGGTTGGGGAGGTTCGGTGGGAGGAGATTCAGAGTGCTCTGGCCAGAGTCCGGCCCGGATGAGCCAGCGTGTGCGATCGCGCTTGGTCGGGGGCTTGGACCACGGGCCATCATATGCAGAGAATCCACGGATGCGTTTGCGGATGCGAGAATGTTTAATCCGCGTCCCTCACTCGTTATGTCTGCCACTGCATGAGTCTCCACCATCACACTGCCACCTTGCGTGGTTCCGATCTCCCCTCTTCTCTCCTTGTGGGCATGTGCCCTTGCGGCCAAGTCACTGTCATCAATGCTATATGCCATCTCTTCCGCCTGGCCTCCTCGAGAGCTCATTTCCTCGGAGGTCCTCTCGGGTATCCCGATGCCGCGGCCGTAGGTTCAGCCGCCCGCGTCGCCATCCGACCGCCGCTGCGAAGCGACAGAGAGAGAGCTGCGGGAGGCATCCGCCCTTCGGAAGATTGTGGTTCCGAGCCGACCCGAGCCCCTCTGATCGGCGGCGAGCGAGGGGGGAAATGAGAAAGAGAAGGCCTTCTCGGAAGGCCGCGGGGATTCTCAGAAGCCCTCCAGCCTTCTGAGAGGTGTTCGGTGTCTTCGGGAAAAGATTCGCGAACTCCTCGGAAGGCCGGTGGTCGTCCGAGACTCCCGAGAAAGCCCCTTCCAGACCCTGGTCGTCATGATTGTTTCATGACGTCGACCCCCAGAGATTTCGACTCATTTCCCATGACCAGCTTTCATCCTGAGTCGTTTCATGACGGTCCCGAGGCCTGGTAGGGGCCCCCAGAGGCTGAAAATGGCGAGAATCCTCCCGTCGTGATTTTTTCATGCTCCCCTTCGTTCGCCGCCGATCAGAGGCTCCCGAGGACAGACCGAAGCTGCAACGCTGTGCCTCCTCCTCGTCGTCGGTCTCGCCCACGTCCACGGCCAGGACGGCGTGCTCACCGATCCCCAGGGGCCCGGCCAGCAGCGGCGCCGCTCTGTGCCTGATGTCCTCCTCGCCCTCTCCTCCTCCTCGCTGCCGTGGCGATGCGCACGCACCCAGAGATCCGATGCTCCAGAGCGGCGGGCGCTTGGCCGTTTCCGGCATCCGGGCGCTAGGGAGGTGGTGCAGACCGCCAGGGCCCACGCATCGAGAGAATTGGAGCAGCGAGATGTCCGGGTCCCTGCCGTGGCGACGCGCACGTACCACACCGTGACGCACGGCATCATCAAGTCCCCGAGCGTCGTCTGCGCCGCCGTGTCCTCCGCCCGCCACGCCCGGAGGCTCCCGCACGATCCGCTCGGCGGAGCCGGGCGCACGGCGGCGCCGAGGCGCGGCGGAGGTTGATCGGAGCTCTCTCAGGCTTCGTTCGCGCTTCTCCTCCTCCGCCTCCTCCTCCTCCTCCTCCTCCTCCTCCTCCTCCTCCTCCTCCCTCTCCATCGCGGCTTTTGAGGCCTCTGTACCAGCCTTCCGCGTTTGCCACACAGCACCAGGGGCTACGTGCAAACGTCGGCACACCTTTCTTGCGCAGAAGCCTCGCGGGCGCCCTGCGGTCGTGGGCGGAGCTGGACTCGCCCTCGGGTCACATCGACCCTTCCTTCTCCGTCACAGCTCTTCCTTCTCCATCTCCTCCTTCTTTTCATCCGTTCTTGGTGCCGTACTGTCGGTTCCCAGTCGACCTGCCGATCGGAACATGGGCACCTTCCCTACCCGGATCATATCGATCAGGAGGGGAAAAAACACACAGACACAATTAATCGTCGACTCCAAGGAAAATATGGGCAGTGGGGGGGAAGACGAAAATCCAGAAAAGATTTGAAAATATGGGGAATCCTTTTATTTGTGTGTGTATTTTTTTTGTGTGTCCCAAGGCGCCTTCAATTGAGTTGCTTCCTCCGTGGCCGCTCCTCCCTTGTCCTCGGTACTGTCTGCGGTGGGTCGCCCCGCCGATCGGACCATGAGCGCGCTCCGCAGTCACCCGAGTCCGAATGACATGCCTCCTCCATCGGCCCATCCTCCTCCTCCTTATCCTCCTCCTCCTCCTCTTTCTCCTCCTCCTCCTCCTCCGTGCCCTCCTCTTCGCTCTTATCTCTATATGTATCTTCATGGTCGACCCGCCAACTGGACTGCGGGCGCGTTCCCCACCCGAGTCCGAACGAAATGCCTCCTCAATCGTTGTTCCTCCTCCCTCCTTTCCCCTCTTCTCTTCTCGGTACTGTCTGCTCCAGGTCGACCTGCTGATCGGAGCCTGTTCCCCACCCGATTCCGAAGACAACCCCGGCGGGGATAACGCCGACTTGTGGGGTCGTTTAGGCAAGCGTCAGGATGCCAGAGACTTCGATTCCACACCAGGCGGCGGCGGATCTTGTCCGCTCCAGGTGCCCCCAGTGGCCTGCGCCGAGAAACCCAGTGGCGGCCGATTTTGCAGGGCAAGCCGCCCTGGAAACTTGAGTGCCAGCAGCTTTTTGGCTTAAGATGGCGTAGGCCGAACAGAAAGTTCGTATGGTGTGGCGCCCCCTTTTTCCGAAGCAACCCGGAGGCGATTCAAGCAGAGAGACGTTCTGGTTCTGTGGTCGAAACCGGTCCGCTGCCCCTCGCCATCTGACGTTGTTGTTCTTTTCGTGTTCGCACACATTGTCCGGAGATGAATGAGGTTGCTCGAGATATCACGGCTGCGCGTCCCATGCGATTTTGCTCTTTTGAGATGCATCTTGTGCTTCGAGCTCATCAAGCAGGATCCGCATTTCTCAATATTGCCGAAGGGTCGGTGTAAGCACATCGATGGTGGCTGGGCTCATGCAACCGCATAAGATGTGTCTGTCAAACATTCACTCTTTGGTTTGTATCCAGTGTGGGTTCTACAGGAGCCAACACATGCGGGGTTTAAGCAGCGGGTGTCTGTATTCTTTGACCTTGAGCGAAGAGACCAGCTCACGCCCACGAGGAGGATCTATTTGTCAGGGATGTACGACAGTGTGTTCCCCAAGCGTGCGCAGCCTTCACCCGAGCCGAGCCGAATGCTCGTGCTGGTGTGTGTTTGGTCATGTCGCCTCCCTTTGCGATCGGTCCTGTCCTAAATTCTGCTATCCTTTTCCTTCTCCTCCTCCTCCTCCTCCTCCTCCTCCTCCTCCTCCTCCTCCTCCTCCCCTCCTCCTCCTCCCTCCCCTCCCCTCCTCTCTCCTCTTCTCGGTATTGTCTGCTCCAGGTCGACCCACCGATCGGAGCATGGGCACATTCCCTACGCAAGTCCGATCGACTTTCTCGCTCCCTCCTCTTCTATTGGTATTGTCTGCTTCGGGTACACCTGCCGATCAAAGCATGTGCGCGTTCCCTAGTTACCGTCTCCATCGCGACCATCCTCCTGCTCCTTATCATCCTCCTCCTTCTCCTCCTCCTCCTCCTCCCTCTCCTTATCCTCCTCCCTCTTCCCCCTTCCATTGTTCTCGGTCTTGGGCGTTCCAGGTTTCAACCACCAGTTGGAGCATGGGCGTGCCCCCTACCCGGATTCGATCCAATTGCTCCCTCCACGGCGGCTCTTCTTCCTTCACCCTTTCCCCCGTCAGCTTCCGGTATATTGTCTGCATCGGGTCGACGTGCCGACTGGAGCATGAGCGCCTACCCTGCCCGAGTCCGGACGAAATGTCTCCTCCATCGCGGCTCCTGCTCCTTTTCCCTCTCCTCCTCCTCCTCCTCCTCCTCCTCCTCCTCCTCCTCCTCCTTCTCATCCTCATCCTCATCCCTCTCCTCCCCCCTCTGTTCTCGGTGTCGTCTGGTCCGGGTCGGCCCGCCGATCGGAGTGTGGACGCCGTTCCTGCCCGAATCTAGCCGAAACGCCTCTCCTCGGGCCCGAGGCGCGCCTTTGAGGACGACGTCGGAGTGCAGGCACGAGCCGGGGGGGGGGGGGCAGGAGGAGAAGGAGGAGGAGGGGGAGGAGGCGGCGACGGAGGAGGAGGAGGAGGAGGAGGAGGACGGGGCAGGGAAGGAGGATGGGAGGAGGAGGAGGAGGAGGAGGAGGAGGAGGAGGAGGAGGAGGAGGAGGAGTAAGGCGAGGAGGCGGAGGAGGAGGAGGCGGAGGAGGAGGAAGGGGAGGAGGAGGAGAGGGAGGAGGAGGGAGGGGGGGCAGAATCAGAATATGGGGGAGGAGGTGGGGGATAGAGTGCAAGACGCAGCAGGTCGTAGATTCGGATGTGTGCAGAATCTGCATTCAGAAATTACGCAAGTGTACTGCCGAAACAGTGCTTGCACTCAGGGGCTCTTACGGGTTGTTTCTCAGGAATTGGTTCGGTGTCCCGAGTTTTTTTGTTTGGGGGGGGGTTCTGACTTGTGCTTCTGAGGAATTGGCTGGTGTCCCGAGGATCCGTCACGTCACGGCGTCTTGCCGCCTCGTTGCCGCTCGTTGCCTCCCTGGGGGGGGGTCCCGTGGAGTCACCACGGTCTGGCCCGTCGCCGCCCCTTTGCCAGCCACTGCCGCCCTCGGGGGTGTTCCGAGGATTCGCCTCGTTCCGACCAGTTGCCGCCCCTTGCCGCCTGTGGGGGCGTCGGTCAAAGGAGGAAGAGGTACCCATCCATACCGCTACCCTTTCCTCGTTGTCCTTCTTTTGGTGCCTCCTGGGCGGCCCCCGTCGCCACCGCTGGATTCCCCTTGAAATCCGGGTCAGAACGCACCCCAAGAGAGGTCCGGGGAATATCGGTACCGGTACCTTTTGGTTTCCCCAGTCCAGTGGATTCGCCGCGTTCCAGCCCGGCGCCGCCATTGCCGCCTGTGGCGGTGTCTGGAGGATTCGCTGCGTTTTGGCCTGTTGTTGGCCGTTTTCGCCTGCGGGGGGGTCTCGAGGATGTCTGTTTGGTTGTTGTAAAAGGGTCGCAGAGACGCTTGTGCATCACAGGGTTTACACATCCACAGGAGTGGTAGAGTTGCTCCCAAGCCGACCACCAGCACGAGTGTGAGCTGAACACGGAACGCGCGGCCCGTTCTGGCGCGAACGCGTTCTGGCGCGAACGCTCTCGGCGACATGACAAAGGGCTTGGCAGTGCGTTTCGGGCGGGCGGAGGCCCCTCGCTCCAGTTCATGCTGTTTCGCACGCGGTGCTTCCTGACACGCTCCCTTCACTCACTGAACGAGGGAAGTCGGAGTTTCGGGCTGCGTCCACGGCGCAGGCTCCACTCGGCTTCTGGGACCCGCTCGGCTTCTCCGATGACGGCGAGCAGGCGTACAGGTTACCCACCAGCGCCTCTCTGCTGGCTGCATCCTCGCATGAGTTTATGCATGGTGTCCGGGTCCTTCCCTTCCTCGACCTTGTTTCTCCTTCTCCTGCTCATTATCATCTCTCTCTCTCTCTCTCTCTTTCTTCCTCTCTCCTTTTTTGTTTCTCTATCTCTCTCTCTCTCTCTCTTTCTATGTCTCCCCCTCTATATATTCAGTGTTTTTTTTTTCTCTCTCTCTCTCTCTCTCTCTCCCTCTTTGTTTCTTTCCTTCTCTCTACGTATATGTAGAAGTGTGTAAACATGTGTGTATGTATGTATGTGTGCTTCCCTTTCCATTCCCGATCCTGATTCCCCCCCTCCTCCCTCTGCACTCTGTTTGCAATGCGCCTCCTGGACTCCCCGCTTGATCCCTCGGCCTGGCGGCTGCGCTTCTACCAGCGGGTGTCACCTCCTTGTCCTGCACTCATGGTTCAAAGCGGTGCGCTCACAGTGCCCATGCCTTCGACGACGTCCTGGCGCATATCGCACGTAAACAACCGTTGAGCGCACGTAGTTCTCATCGTCGAAGCGCGGAGCATTTTCGGTATACTCGATATCAATGTTGATCTTTGCGGTGCGCGCAGTTCTCAGGTCTTAAAGCTCGTCTGGGCTATAATTCAGAGCTCAAGGAATCCCCTCGCTCAGCTTGGATTTACCGATCAAGTCGCCCTCTTCCCAACGCGTACACGCTCATCCGCTGCGTTCTCTTTGGACTCGCAATGTTGCGGTAGCTGTTCTGGTTCAGTCATTACTGTTCCTACCTTGCTTCTAATCGTCCAGAAGGAACATCAACCTGGGAATTTAGCGGGATCATCTGGGAAGACATGCCCGCCCACCTGTGAACTGATCGGCCATCTGTCATATTTGAAAATCTGCGTCCTATTTCACCGGCCCCCCCAGCCTCCCCCATATTGCGGCTAGGTCGAAGCGGACCCCTACGGGCCCTCTCGGGCAATAGTGGTTTGCATGTGGGCTTCGGGGGGGTCAATCTTGGCGCCTCTTGTGGGTCTTTCGTGGCCGTCTTGCGGCACTGCTGGGTCGTTCTGGGCGTTCGTGCCGGCATGTTTCGGGCGGGGGGCTCTTGGCGATCTGTGGATCTGGGGACAATCGGTTGCTCTGGGCGTTCTGGGCGCTCGGTGGCTCTGGGTGCAATCGTGGGGCGGTCCTTGGATTTTGTGGGGCCAAGAGATGGGACAGGCAAAGAGCACAGAAAATAAACACGTTGTTTCGTTGTGATTGCTCTCGCTGGAGTGCCGTCGGGCCCTCCTGGACCACTCCAGGGGCGTCTTTGGGGCACCGTGGGCCGTTTGGGTGGGGCTCGCTGGGCCTCTTTCGGGGCTCCCTGGGGCCGCTCGGGAGCCCTCCTGGCCTTCTGGTGGCGCCCCTATGGGGAGTCCTGTGGCAATCGCCAGCGGCCAAAGAGTTTGAGAAACACCCCCCCCCGATGCGAGCTCTGGCGCCGCGCCTTCCCCCCCTCCCCCCGCTGAGAGCAGAGAGGAGGCAGAATAGGAGATGCAAGAGATCGGCACGAAGGGACAAGCACAGCAGAGTGATCGGCGCGCCGCCCCCCAGGCAGTGGGAGCGGAGCGGGCCTCACGTGCTGAACGCTGTGTGCGCGGAGCCCTAGGAGCCGAACCTGTGTGCGTGTGTGTGTGTGTGGAGCCCTGGTGCCTTGCTGTGCGTCGGCGCGCCCCGCTGCTGCTCGACCGCCGTCTGATTCTCTTGCGGCCGCTGGTTCAAGAAAGTGCTCGTGTGGAGCCTCGAGTGCGCCTTGCGTGTGGTATCCTAGGTGTTCACAGGTCACGCCCGTCGCAGGAGCAGCAGGACGACGTGGTCCCGCCACCCACCCTGCAGCGACCACCGCGCATTTTCGCACGCGCGTCGTGCAAGACACGATCTCGAACTTCCCGGCGGGGGCGGCGTTCAACGTGCGACGCCACCCCAAACTTCCAATAGCATCGTACACAACAAATTCACCCAAAAGACGCCAGTCTAGAAGGCAGATTCACAGCACGGCTTTGTCGCTGACGTGTTGGACCAGCTCTGCAACTCACCGCCAGGCAGGTGTCCGCATACAGCCGGACCGAGGTATAGATGGGTCGCCTAATGTCCTTCATGTTTGCTGTATGTGTTTGTGCATCGTGGGGTGCGTGTTGACCGCTCATGTTAACAAGGCTGCTATGTTGCCTCAGGTCCGAGTGTACGTGTTTGCGCGCGCATTGGGTGCGAAACTCTTTCAGAGCGAGAAAGCCGTGCTCGTTATAGAATATTGATCTTTTGTTCTCCCAACATCCCAGCCTCCAGTGTCCAAGCGCGTTGGTGAGATCTCCCTTGCGCTATCCTTTAATCCGGCGTGTACATTGACGGATCGAGACTTGCAATGTGGCGCCCCGCTTTTATACATCGGGTCCAGACCCATCATATTAGCTGCTGGCTTTGGAGGCGCATGGTGGCCCATGTGCACGATGTATCGGGCGCAGGAGCACACGAATCACATGTGCACGTGGGTGGCATTTTCTGGTCCTTCTCGGTTGGCCCCTTGGCACGGGGTGGACATCCAGGAGTGCATTCCCCAGCCCCCCCGGGTCGAGCGAACCGACGGGGCAGCGCGAGTGGCTCCACAAGCGACATCAGCTCGCGTTGGCGTCTGTCGAGGTCGGCTCGCGGAGGGCACCCTGATGTTTGTTCGTGGTTGTTGGATGTTCCTGCGCACCCTGGGGAGGGTATCCTTGGAAGTTCTGTGCGTTTTGGCCGGCGGAGGGCCTCGCGTTCTTGAGGGATGCTCTTCTGGTGAAGGTTCGGCCCCAGACGTGCGACGTCCTGATATGTTTTTCGGGGCGGGCCCCCTGGATGTCCCGACCCTTTTTCCCAGGGCCGGCTTTTCGTCCTGAGTCGTTTCATGACGGTCCTGATGCCTGGTAGGGGCACCCATCGGCCGAAAATGGTGAGGATCCTCCCGTCGTGATTGTTTCATGCCCCCCCCTTCGCTCGCCGCCGATCAAGGGTTCCCGAGGACAGACCGAAGCTGCAACGCTGTGCCTCCTCCTCCTCGTTGTCGGAGTCCCTGGAAGTCCCGATGTTTTCCCTGGGACCGGCTTTTCGTCCTGAGTCATTGTTTGACGCCCCCGAGGCCCAGGAAAGGCCCCCGGAGGCCAAAAACGGCTTAAAACCTCCCGTCGTGTTTTTTGTTGCTTTACTATTTAAGGTTTGGGACTGCACGCGCAGTTCAGGCGCGTGTTTCGTCCAGGGGAGGGGGGCTTTGCAGAGCGCCTCCCGTGCCTTTGCGCCGCCAGAAGGGGGGGGGGGGGGGGCACCCCGTTCCCCCCCCCCCCCCCCCACGGCGCGCGCAGGCGGCGCCGCTCCGTCGAGCTGAAGCACGGCCGCATATCGATGCTCGCCTGCATGGGCGATCTCCCACGGAGGAGGAGGAGGGAGGAGGAGGAGGAGGAGTGGAAGGAGGGGGAGAAGGAGGGAGGAGGAGGAGGAGGAGGAGGAGGAGGAGGAGGAGGAGGGGAGGAGGCGGAGGATATGGAGGGGGAGGCGGTGGAGGAGGAGGCGGAGGAGGAGGACGATTCGATGTTCGATGTTTTGCAGGAGCAGCAGGAGGCTGGATAAGGAGCAGGAGGAGAAGGAGGAGGAGGAGGAGGACGAGGAGGAGAAGGAGGAGGAGGGGGAGGAGGAGGAGGACGAGGGGGAGGCGGAGGAGGAGGAGGATGATGAGGAATCGACGTTCGATGTTTTGGAGGAGCGGCAGAAGGCTGGATATGGAGGAGCAGGAGGAGGAGGACTTGCCGAGCGGGCAGCCACAAAGAAGTGATGGCTGCCTGGTTGGCTGGCTGCGCCAGCTCGCTTCACCGATTCCAGAGGGGCATGTCGAGCCATGGCCCGTGCGGCAGAAGAGCAGGAAGGTTGCCCCTTGCTGTGTCGCCAGGCCCACGTATGCGAAAGTGTGGTTTCTGGCGGAGGGCTTCTATTCTGCTTCAGCATGTCGGTTAATCGACTCTTTGGACGAGCGGCTGTCTCCACGGAATTCGCCATTCAAGGGGGTGTTCGTAAAATTGGTTTGCGTTCGTTGACGTTCGTTCGTTGTTGATGTCATGAGATAGGTGCTCGACCAGTTCCGATATCCTGTATGTCGATATGCAGTTCAGAATTGGCTGCGGTATTCAGCATGATCTTACCGCTTCCTCTTACACTTGGGCTGCACTCGCAAGTGCCATGTCCGTGTCGGCTTCGTTGTCGTATTGTTTTCTCCTTTGTGCAATGTGTGCTAGGGCATCTGCTTGGCAGCTGTAAGCCGAGAGGCTTCATGACGCCGGAGATCACAGGCAAATTGCCGGGCTATCTGGCACCATCGGCGCAGGCGACCAGCATGCTGTGCACTGGGGCAGAGCAGAGGTGTTCATTGCTCAAGTCTTGACTACACGTAAGAATGCCCCTTCGCTGGAGTGACCTCCCCCCCCGGCGTGTAGCCGAAAGTCTGGTTGCTCAATGGGTTGGTTCTGTCTGCCCTCCTCCATTTCCGTACCTCCCATCCTCCGCAACCATCCCCCACGTTACCCCTGCTTGGGCAGGCTGGTGGCAGGCAGGTCCTTAGCTTCGCCTGCGCACCCCGCTGAGAAAGTGACCACAGCTAGGCCGAACTAGATTTAAGTCGGGCCTGTCCCTTTACAGGAGGAATATTCCCAAATAGTGAAACATAGTTTTGGGACGTGTTTTCCTATTTTTTTGTATGTTTGAGCTTTTCTGTTTTTGTGATTTCGTTTTTCATCCAAAATCCACCCCTGGGAGGGCATGCCCGACCTAAAGCTAGATGTTGTACTGCTGCTGGGCTCTTCATCGACGCGCAGTCACCCCGAACTCGACCCGAGAGCTCGATCGATCGATCGGTCCCCGGCGTGATGCCGCCCCTTCTCCCCCTCGGCTCCATCGGCTCTCCCGAGGGCTCCACGTCGCCGCCCGCGGGCCCGCGACGACCAGACGACGAGCAGGAAGCGACGTGTACGGTAGGTTCGTATCGTGTCGACCGGCGGCGACCCCGCCAGCGGCGTTGAATTTTGAACGCCGCGGGCGACCCAGAATCGTTCGATGTGGAACGACTTGGACGATTCGGGAACGGTAGATCGTTCAAGGTTGAACGATCCCCGCGGGGTCAGAAACTGACGCCGAAGTCGGCACGACACGAACTTGACGTACTCCGCTCACGCGTGTTCACGTGCAGGTTGGTCGCTCATCTCCGCTGCCGAGCTCACCGCACTCTCCTTCTCCCTCTGTAGCATTCGTAGTCGATTCCCCCATATTATTTACTATTTGTTTAAATCTTCCCCTTACGGCTAGCACTATGAGTCCTGCCATTTGTTTCTTTTCTTTTTCGTGACAGTATTCTTCATTTTTTCAGGGTGGTACTGCGTGAACGTTTAGCTGTTGCGAACGCTGCGCGCCTCCACGCAGCGCTGCCGTCCGCAATTATTCACGAGGATCGGCGGCGAGCGAGGGGGGAAGTGAGAAGGAGAAGACCCTCTCAGAAGGCGGCAGGTTTTCTCAGAAGCCCTCCGGCCTTCTGAGACGTTGTCTCCGTCTCCGGGGAAGGCACGGAAAACTGTTCAGAAGGCCGGGCGACTTCCAAGCCTTCCCCAGACATGCGACGTCCTGATTGTTTCAATGCGGAGTCCCTGGAAGTCCCGATCCTTTCCCCGGGACCGGCTTTTCGTCCTGGGTCGTTTTCTGGCGGTCCCGAGGCCCGGAGAGGGCCCCCCGAGGCCGAAAACATTCAAAAATGTCCCGTCCTGATCTTTTTTGTTTTTGTATTTTAACGACGCGACCATGTCTGGGTCTGAGCAGGCTTCCCCCTTCTCGCTTCCCCCCCAAGGCTGGCCGCCAAGAGGCGAGGCGAGGGGGGGCGCCTCCCCGAGGAGAGGCCCGCGGTACTGCGGGGGGGGGGGGCCCGCGGAGGGCGGCGAGGGGGGGCCCTGCTCGAGCGGGAGGGCAGCGGGCGCCCGCTGCCCTCCCAGGCCCGAGGAGGGCGGCGAGGGGGGGCTCTGCTCGAGGAGGCAGCGGGGCAGCGGGCCCGAGGAGGGCGGCGAGGGGGGGCTCTGCTCGAGCGGGAGGGCAGCGGGCGCCGGCGCCCGCGATGTCCCCCGGCCGAACCCAGAGATCCGACGCTCCGAAAAGCTGGAGCGATCCCAGGAAATGATCGCGTCGTTGGACGATCAGGAACGGAAAACTACGAAAACCTCCGCACCGATTCGTTTTGGAGGAAATGTTTCGCCAGTTTTCGGCCTCGGGGGACCCAGTGAGGGCCTCGGGACCGTCAGAAAACGAGACGGGACGAAAAAAACGGTCCCGGGGAAAGGATCGGGACTTCCAGGGACCCCGTATATTGAACAAATCCGGACGTCGCATGTCTGGGTTCGGGTGTTGCTTATCCCTCCTCCTCGTCCTCCTCCTCCTTCTCCTCCCTCCTCCTCCTCCTCCTCCTTCCTCCTCCTCCTCACTCCTCCTCCTCCTCCTCCTCCTCTTCCTCCTCCTCCTCCTCTTCCTCTTCCTCCTCCTCCTCCTCCTCCTCCTCCTCCTCCTCCTCCTCCTCCTCCTCCTGTTGCTGGAATCACGAGAAACATGGCAGAAGGTGTTTCGCTTCCCTCGGCCTCGGGGTGCCCTCGCCGGGCCTCGGGACCGCGAAGAATGACTCAGGACGAGGTTGTCCAGACTTCCGGGGCCCACGCATCGAACAACATTGGAGCGGCCGGATGTTTGGGAAGGCCTGGCCGCGCCCCCAACGGTGACGTCGGACCTCGGCCGGGGGTGCGCTCTGGGAGGGTCGGGCCTTGCTGTCGGGCCGAACGGAAGGTGGGGATAGGAAAGGGGGGGGTACGAAATGTGCTGCGCGCAGCTGCCTTCGGCGGCCCCGCCGCTGGGCCCGGCCCTCGATGTACATGGGCGCCCCCCAGCGCCAGGGCGATGCAGGGAAAGCAGCACGTGAGCTGATTCTCTACCCAAACATGCGAAGTCTTGATGTTTTCAATGCGGGGCCGCTGGAAGTCCCGATCCTTTCCTCGGGATCGGTTTTTCGTCCTGAGTCGTTTTGTGACTGTCCCGAGGCCCAGTGAGGCCGCCCCGAGGCCGAAGACTGGCAAAACCTTTCGTCCTGATTTTTTTGCGACTCGATCATGTCTGGGTACCCTGCCCTTTGCTATCCTGCCCATTTCGTAGCCCCCGATGTCGGGTGGGCCTCTGCGTCGGCGTACGCTTTGAGAGCCAGCCGGGCGGCGAGGGGGGGCCCCTTGCGGGAGGGCCCGTGCTCGCCCGCGGCGGCCCTGGCCGAAGGCGCGGCCGCGCCGCAGCGGCGACGTCGGACTCCAGGTCTGCCTCGGCTGCACCAGGGTGGCCTCCTGGCATCGCTCGGGCGTGTGCATTTTCCTTCGTCGAGGACCATCGAGGAGTATCCTTGATCATTCGGCGAAAAAACCACGCACGAAACCGAGAAAAACACAGGGAATGGACGTCCGAGCGATGGCAGGACCTCTGGCGCGGGCCCACGCCCAGACGGGCTCGCGTCGGGAACACCAGCAAACATCGGTGCGGAGGTTTTCATGGTGTTTTGTTCCTCCGCGTCCCCTTCTTTCACCCCCTCCCTCCCTCCTCTCTCCTCCCCCCTCTCCGCCCACTCAGTGTTCCAATATGGAGGGTATAGATTTTTCATCTGACCTCGAATGAGGCCGCATTCTGGAGGGCTCGCGTACATGTCAATTCAGTGTCCTACGCACCTCCGTGTGTATGACTCCATTGTTGTTGGTGCTGCTGCTGCTGTTGAATTCTCATTTCTGAAGAATGATTATTCAATCGCTTCGCTCATTCCGCCGGCCCATGTTGCATGATCGCTACTGCTTCGCCGTGGGCCCACGGCCATTGTGGCGCCGCAAAGGAGGAGGAGGAAGATGGGGATAGGAAAGGGGAGGGGAGGAGGAGGAGAGGCTGAGAAGGAGAGGAAGAGACTGAAGATAAGTAGGAGGAGGAGGAGGAGGAGGAGGAAGGGGAAGGGGAAGGGGCGGAGGAGGAAGCTTCTCGTTGGCATCTTGTGTTGCTCTTGGGGCCAAACAGGGTCGTCGTCGATGCTTCTTTGGGAGGCCTCTTGGGATCTTTTGAGAAGCCGTTCGGGGAAGCCTGGGAGGCATGTTTGAACTTCTGGGGCCTCTTGGGGCCTCTTTTGGGCCTCCTGGGGGCCTCCTGGGGCCTCTTGGCGGCATCTTGGGGCCTCTTGGGGGCCTCTTGGGGGCCTCGGGGCCTCCTGGGGCCCTCTTGGGGCGGAAGGCTCGAGTTTTCGGTTCGTGGTCTCCCTCTTGGGCCCCTCTTGGGGCCGTCTTGGGGCCGTCTTGGGCCGTCTTGGGCGCCCCTTGGGCCGTCTCGGGGCCCTCTTGGGCCCTCTTGGGGTCTTCTTGGAAGCCTCCTGGCCCGTCTTGGGGCGCTCTTGGGGGCCTCTTGGGCCGTCTTGGAGCATTGGATGGCCGAAAAGGCGACAAGGCCAAAATCCTTCCAAAACTATAGTGAATTGATGATTCTGTCTTGTCGGGCCCTCGTGTGAGGCCTCTTGGAGGCCACTTGGAGGCCTCTTGGGCCGTCTTGGGGTCATCATCGGCGTCTCGGAGCGCTCTTCGTGGCCCCCACTCGTTCGCGCTCTTCGTGGCCCCATACGCATTCCCTTCGTGTCCCCGCTGCCGCCCTTCGTGGCCTACTTCGTGTCCTTGTGGCCCTGCTGCCGTTCTCCCTCGCTCTCGCTTTCGCTCGTCGTCGTCGCCGTCGCCGTCGTCGGTCGTCGTCGCCGTCGTCGTCGACGTAGTCGTCGTCGTCGTCGTGGTCGGTCCCCTGTCCGTCCTCTTGGGGTCGGGTCGACGGTCCGTCAAACAGTTATTCAGGATGAAAACTCGGCATAGGGGTAATTGGTCGGGGTCTGGCATGTCGCATGTCTGGGCCTGGCGCGGGCCCACAGACGTCCCCCCAGCACTGGTCTGCGCGCCTGGGCCTGGCCCCCTCGCGGCCCCCGGCAGCCATGCGGCCCCTCTCGCGGCCCTCGTGCCCCGGGTCACGCGCGAGCAGATGCTGCGCTTGGAGAGAGCTGGGCCCCGTCGCAGGCCCCTGCGTCGGCACAGCGTGTTCACAGCCTGGCGCGGGTGGCCACAGCGCGCTCAGAGACGAGGCGCAATGATGCTCACCGGGGCGCGGCGGAGGAGCAGCGTGGGAGGGAGGGAAGGCGGTGGAGGAGGGAGGGGGAGGAAGAAGGCGGGGATGGATGGTCTGGGGGGGGAGAGGGAGGATAGCGGGCAGCAGGGGAGGGGAGGAGGATGAGAAGGAGCAGGAGTAGGAGCAGGTGGAGATGAGGAGTGGGAGCAGGATGAGGAGTGAGGGTGGGGGTGAGGAGGCGTGGCGGCGATGAGGTTGTGAGGACGACGATGGTGATTATGGTGGTGGTGATGATGAGGATGTTGATGGTGAGGGTGTGGGTGACAGGGAGGTTTATGTTGATGGTGACGGTGATGCCGATGCGGATGACGATAACGATTATTGTGGCGATGGCGATGTTGTTGGTTATGGTGATGGTGATGGTGACGGCTCGGTGATGGTGATGATGATGACGACGTTGCTGATGACGATGATGATGGTGGTGGTGATGGCATGTACTATGGTGTTGTGTATGATGATGATGGTGCCGAGCATGATGATGATGATGATGATGCTGATGGTGATGCTGATGCTGATGCTGATGTTGGTGCTGATTATGATGTTGATGTTTATGCTGATGCTGCTGATGCTGCTGAAGATGATGATGTCAACGAAGGAGGAGGGATGATTAGATAGCAGACGGGGGCGGGAAGGGCAGCCGCCTTCGGCAAGGGGTCCCGCGCGGGCGCAGCTGTGGGGTGGGGCGGGTTTGGTGACCGGCTGGAGGGCGGATGAGGATGGCGGTGGTGCGGCCGCCTACTGATCGGCGGCGGGCCAGGGGGCGAAGTGAAAGGAGAAAACCTTCTCAGAAGGCTCGGAGGTACTCCAGATTTCGTAATAAAGGGAAGGGGTCGCATTTCGGGGGGGGGTCTCTTCCAGGCTATCTTGGAGGGCCTGGGGGGTCTGGGGACGATGTTTTTTGAGGATTCTCCCACGGGGGAGGTCTGATGGCTTGTCTTGGAGGGTCCAGACCCCCTCCCTTTTATTACTACGAAATCTGGAGTACCTCAGCCTTCTGAGAAGTTGTCTCAGCCTTCGCCGAACAGGCCCCGAAGGCTCGGAGGTCCCCGAAGAGGCCCTCTCGAGGAGTGTTCGGAGCCTTCCCCGAAGAGGCGCCGAGCACTCCTCGGAGGGCGCCGAGGGCTTCCGAGGAGTCCCGCCGCCCTCCGAGAAGGCCTTCTCCCTCTCACCTTCCCCCGCCTCGCTCGCCAACGACTTCCCAGAAGGCGCGAGGGCGTCCGAGAACTCCCGCCGCCCTCTGAGAAGGCCGTCTCCTTCTCGCTTCTCCCCTCGCACGCCGCCGACCTGAGCCTTCCTCAAAGAGAGCTGCAGGGCGCCAAGGGGGGCAGAGGGTGCAGCAGCTCTCCGATCAGATAGGAGCTGCCCTCGAAGGTGAGAAAACAGCATCAACCTAAACATTCCGGTGCAGTTCCTGAAGTTCTCGGACCTGCGCTGCAGCCCCCTAGCGGCGCTTCTGGCGTCGATCCATGAAATCCGCGCTGACCTCCAATTATGCCTAACTATACGACCACCCTTCGGGTGATAAGGAGGTTCGGGGGGGGGGGAGGAACCAACGTCTCACTCGATCGGTCTCACTATCGATCTCACTATCGATCTCAGTATCGGTCTCGCTCGATCGATCTCCCTCGATCGATCTCACAATCGATCTCACTCGATCTATCTCACAATTGATCTGAATATCGATCTCACAATCGATATCACATTCGGTCTCACTACATCATCATCATCACCATCATAATAATCATCATCATCGGGACGCCATAATCATTATCAATCTCATCATCAACATCATCATCATCGGGACAATCATAATCAGCATCATCAACATCAACATCATCATACTCATCATCATCGGGACACCATCATCGTCATCATCATGATCATCAACATAATAATCATGATCATCATCATCCTTATCATCGGGACACCATCAGCATCATCATCATCATCATCACCATCATCATCATCATCATAATCGTCATCATCATCATCATCGACATCATCATCGACATCATCGGGACACCATCATTATCATATCATCATCATCATCATCATCATCATCATCGTCCTCATCATCATCAGCATCAGCAGCAGCATCATCATCATCAGCATCACCATCATCATCATCAGCAGCAGCAGCATCATCATCACCATCACCATCACCATCATCATCATCATCATCATCATCATCATCATCATCATCGTCGTCGTCGTCGTCGTCATCATCATCATCTCATCATCATCATCATCAGCAGCAGCAGCAGCAGCATCATCATCATCATCATCATCGCTGGACACCGCGGGACACCGGCGGGACACCGCGGGGCACCGCGGGACACCGCGGGACACCGCGGGACACCGGCGGGACACCGCGCGGCACCGGCCGCCCGGTCAAGGTTCTTTTGGTCCGGCCGCGCCTCAGCCACACGGGACTTTCGCGGGACACCGGCGGGACACCGCGGGGCACCGGCCGCCCGGTCAAGGTTCTTTTGGTCGGGCCGCGCCTCAGCCACAGGAGACTTCTTCTCGCCCGCCCACGCAGATTCGCCTCACCCGCACGCACGGCACGCACGAACACGAAACCGAAATCGATTTCCCGGTAGGGGGGCTCTCCGTTCCCTTTCGATCTCACCCCCTCACCTCCGATAATTAGTCCCCCATGCACCTTGGAAGGGCCCGAAGTGTTGAAAGCGGAGAAAAGGTTGGCAAGATGGAGATTGTGTGGGCGAGATTTGCAGGGGAATCGTGGGAGCTTAAGGAGATCAGACGTCGAGTGAGCCAAGCTCTCACAGAGAACGTGATCGTAGGTCCTCACCATCGCCCTCCATCATCCTCCTTACCATCCCAACCCATCGTCGTCCTCACCACCACCATCCTACCACCTCACCATCAGCATCGTGCCACCTTCTCCATCGTCCTCCTCACCATCACCCATCGTCCTCCTCACCATCCTCACCCATCGTCGTCCTCCACCAAGCCTGCCACGTCATCCTCACCATCGTCCTCTGCCTCTTCCCTTCCCCATTCCCCTTGTGGGCGGCTGGTTCGTTACGAGTGGTGGAGTGGAGTGCGGCTGGGAGTGGAGTTGAAGTTCGCCGACGTCCCGAATGGGTTGAGCGCTTTGGACGCGGTCGAGATGGGAGACAGGGCGCGGCGTGCGGGAGAAGTCACAGTAGCAGCACGGCAAGTAGATGACGAGACGTGATCTCACGTTCCTTTGTGCTCTCTCTCTCTTTCTCTCTCTCGTCCAAGCCTGAGCGCCAGTAAACATCGCCCCCCCAGAGATGGGGAGGTTTTTGGTTCAGGATCTTCGGGACCCGCCATATTCGAGGCCTCCTGGATGGCGTCAGAGCAGACGGGGACAGAGGATCGCGCCGCATCGCCCGTGCATCGGCGATTCGGATCAATTTGGAGCCCGATTTTCTCCACGCCGAGGTCGCCGATGCATCGCCGACTTCGCCAGCGCATCCCCGATGCATCGGCGATGCGGCGCGATCCTCCGACCCCATCTGTTCGGACCTCACCTGCGAGGCTTCTACATTCAGGTAAGAAACACACACAGACACACATTCACGTCAATTCCCATGAAGGTATGGGAAGATAAGCAGAAATGGAGGGAAGACGAGACTCCAGAAAATGCAGCGAATAGGGGGGCAGCTTGGGATTTGTTCCTATTGGATTATGTGTCCCTGGGCCCCTTCAACCTGGGCCCCTTGATCTACATGCGCGCAGCCTGGATTTCTCAGCGCCTGCGCCCCCGACGTTTCGGGGGAGTTCCTAGGGGTGCATCTGGCCGAAGGCGCCCCTGGCCCTTCGCTCCCTCTTGGAGCCCCCGGGGCCCCCTGGGCATCGTGAGTCCGTGAGTCCTGGCAGTTGTTGCTCAAGGGGGCCCCTCAAAGTTTGCTTTGATGCAGTGTGGGTTCGGGCGACTTGGACTCATCGTCTACTGGTGTCTCTCCCCCGGGCCTCGTGAGGGGTGCTCTGGAGGCCGTGGCCTGGAGGCCGTGGGCACCTTTGTCTCCCGACCCCCGACAGCACGATTTGTCATTGAGTCGATCCCCAAAGGCCCCGACGCATTCCCCGTGACAGGCTTTTCCTCCTGAGCCGTGACTTGACGGCCCGGAGGCTTGGCGGGGGCCGCCAGCGGCCGGAAGTAGCGAACAACCTTCCGTCATGTTTTTTCGCGCCTTCAGCAACATGGGGAGGAAGAGAAGAAGGAAGAGGAGGAGGAAGAGGAGGCGGAGGATGAGGAGGGAGGAGGAGGGAGGAGGACAAGGAGGGAGCAGGAGGGAGGGAGGGGGAGAAGGGAGGAGGCAGGAGAGGGAAGAGGAGGAAGAAGAAGAGCAGGCGCAGGAGGAGGAGTAAGGCGGAGGAGGGAGGAGGAGGGAGGGGGTTTGTTTGGATTTCAGCAATTCGCTGGTCAGGTGAGTGGCGGCGCTCGCAGCAATATATCATGAGTATCGGCACCAAGAGAAAGTAACCCAGGTAGGCGGAACATGCAGCACAGTACTGCACGCAACAGCTCAGGAGGCAGCAACAAGGGACGGTCCTGTGTTAGTGCAGTACCTTCGTCTGCTTCAACAACTTGCTGCGGGGCATGAGGCGACCAGCCTCTAGCAATGGCCGGTACGAAACTCGACAGGACAGGGCTCACGTGAGTACCTGAGGGGAAGTTACCTTCACGCGCTCAGGACGGGCGACAGACACGGCGGCGGAACACCAAGCACGATTATCTTGTCGAACCTTGGGGAGTGAGGGAGTCCAAAATGGCTCTCACAGTGAACATACCGATCATATGCCAACCAGCCCAACCTGCACATGTCTGAACATGTCTGAACACACTCAGAGCTACCAGCATGTGATCGCAGAGAACGCATCAATGGACAACGTTTGCAGCCAGTGGCGGGACAACGGCGGCCAGTCTGCATCATGGTGCCTGAACCTGCGGGGCCGGACAGCGAGATATGCGCATGGGGGCGGGCGCGCCAGAGTCCGGCGGTACGGGTGCCAGATTAACTCCGCCTGAGCTCTCTGGGTCCGCTGGAGTCTGCAACCGTCTACCACGCAACGACAGAGAGGCGGGAAGCTTCGGGGAACCAGTCCGCGTAGAAGAGTAGGCGGCCAGTGAGGGAGCAGTTCAGGAGCTCAACCAAGCAGGGGCACACTTAGTTTGCCTGATGGAGGTGAGATAGGCCAAGGGTTCGATCACCACGCATCACGAATGCCTGTACTCCTGACAGTCTGTTACATGATCTGCAACTTGCGTCTGGTCATCGAGACATGCACATAGACGGCTCGCCAGAAGCCTAGGGCTCGGGTGTTGTATTCACTCTGCCTGAGCTTTCTGGGTCCGCTGGAGAGACTGGGAGCATTTCCTCAGCTGGGTAAGGAGCACTGCGTGCGGTACATCACAGCATCTCGCTGCTGTTTGTTACGTCTCCTGCAAGCTTATGTCGGTCTTGGCTGCACGCTTGATGTCTCTCTTTTATGAGGGCATTCAGACTCTCTACGCGCACGTCCTACCAGCGAGCAACACGAAGCATCATCATGAGAAAGTGTACTCTCTCTCTCCTGGTTGATAGGAGCACGCCACTCTCGGGCAGGGGTGGCAGCAAGGCAAAGGGGACAAGGGGGCGAAGCGGGGTGAGTCACTAAGCTCGACTGATTCTGGCTCAAGCACTGTGCCTGTTGGTAGGTCATCTTCGCCTCGCAGCAGCTGCCTCCGAAAAGTGGCCTTCCAAGCTCAGGCGCCGCGCTTTATCTGGCAACGTGATGCTTCCAAAAAGTGTCCTCAAAAGCTCAGGCGCCGCGCCTTATCTGGCAACGGAGTGCCTCCAAAAAGTGTCCTCACAGGCTCAGGCGCCGCGCCTTATCTGGCAACGTAATGCCTCCAACAAGTGTCCTCACAGCCTCAGCTGGGTCTCATGGTGGACAACATTCTGAGTTCAACACCGAGCAGGGAGCTTGAGCATGCAAACCACGGATGCCCAAGATAAAGTGAGGTGTTGGTCCGTTGGCGCCGAAAGGCGACGCCATTGTCGGGCAATTTTGCACAAGCCAGCCTACGTCACATATGCAATGCTACAATCCAGACCCACTTCCTACCTCCATCCTGACCCTTCCCACTGCAGTCGAAGAGACAGTGGCGGATCGTGATGCCTGAACCTGCGGGGCCGGGCAGCGAGATATGCACATGGGGGCGGGCGCGCCAGAGTCCAGCGATACGGGTGCCAGATTAACTCCGCCTGAGCTCTCTGGGTCCGCTGGAGTCTGCAACCGTCTACCACGCGACGACAGAGAGGCGGGAAGCTTCGGGGAACCAGTCCGCGTAGAAGAGTAGGCGGCCAGTGAGGGAGCAGTTGAGAAGCTCAGCCAATCAGGGGCTCATTTAGTTCTTTGAGGAGAAGGCTACCTTCGAACCACCACGGACGACGGAAAGGGCACGGGACCAAACAGAGCGGTTATCTTGCCTAAATTCCAGGAGGTGAGGTAGGCCAAGGGTTCGATCACCACGCATCACGAATGCCTGTACTCCTGACAGTCTGCTACATGATCTGCAACTTGCTTCCGGTCATCAAGACATGCGCATAGACGACTCGCCAGAGTCCTAGGGCTCTGGTGTTTATTCACTCTGCCTGAGCTTTCTGGGTCCGCTGGAGAGACTGGGAGCATTTCCTCAGCTGGGTAAGGAGCACTGCGTGCGGTACATCACAACATCTCGCTGCTGCTTTATGCGTCTCTTGCAAGCTCAGGCGCCGCGCCTTATCTGGCAACGCAATGCCTCCAAACAGTGTCCTCACATGCTCAGGCGCCGCGCCTTATTTGGCAACGTAATGCCTCGAACAAGTGTCCTCACGGGCTCAGCTGGGTCTCCTGGTCTCATGTAATGGAGTCTGCAACTGCCTACCACGCATTGACAGATAGGCAGGCAACTTCGGAGAACCAGTCCACGTAAATAGACAGGCGGGGCGGCCGGCAGGGGGGTGACAGCGGCAGGGAAGGAGGGAACAGGTGTGGAGCACGATTGAACAGTGGCGACGCACGCACTGTGCCTGAGGTATCCCTTGGTTACCACTGCACACGATCAACAAGACCGAGCCCAAAATCTGGGTCGACAGCCCACGGTGCAATAGCGGCACGTCGTTTGGCTGCTCTTCTGTCTCTGGCTTCCTCTCGGTTCCTCGCCATACGATCACGTATCTGGGAGGACAGGGGGACAGGGGAGGGGGGAGGGGGAGAGGAAGCAGGAACAGGGGAACCTTCTCCTATGCCAGCAGACACCTGCTGGGAGACACCAGTGAAGGACCTAGCGTCGGCATATTCCTGTTCCTCATCGGCCTCTGGCGGCCCTGGTGACCTTGGAATCGCGGTGGGATGAAGAGCATCATCGTCACCAGGAATTGCAGCAGCAACCGATTTGAAACGCTCGATTTTTGGGCCGGTACGATGTTTACATGGGCCACGTCGTGAGACAACATCTGGGGCCCAGCCTCCTGCAACCCCTAGATGGGGATCCCAAGACACATTAAGAAAAACAGCAGGGCTTTCTAGCTTCATCTGACTCCAGCATGTCCGACGGTGGTCTGTCTGGATCCCCCTGCTCCCACACAGTCTGCACAACCTGCACGGTCGCATCTGCTATGCATTTGCGCAGGTTCTCGGGGTATGTCTCCTTCTTTGCTGTACGCCAGTCCTGATTTGCCGAATCGAATCCAAGCAAAACCTCGTGTCCACATCTGCGACCATGAGAGCACTTTCCTCTACCAGGGGTCGCCAGCATAATGTTGTGTAGCGGCTGCATTCGTAGAGAAAGAATGCGAGCTGGGGCTCGGGATGTTTGACCGTGTTCGCATTGGTCGAAATTCGTGCAGCATGCAGCAGGCGAAGACTCGATAGGTTGCACGAGAAAGAACTGACTGCCTGAGACCTCCAGTCACATGGTTGCGGGTGCTCCATCCAGCAGCACGTCCCCACCGTCAAATGTACGGCGAACAGCTCCAACATGGCACAAAGGAGAGCATTTCCTACCGCTAGTTGCTCCATCTGACGAGGAGTAGCTGCTGTTTTATCCCAGAACTCATCATGCGTACGCAGGGGGGGGGGTCCGGACCATTCTACCCAACGCGGGCCGACCAGGTTTCGCACGGCGGACCTCCCCCCGAAACGACGACCCTGCGGGCCCTGATGTGCTCTTTCCAGGTGTCGAGCGCGGACCGATTCATCATATCCCCAAGAGTCGCAGGGAGGAGGAGGAGGAGGGAGGAGGACGGAGGAGGAGGAGGAGGAAGGAGGAAGGAGGGTGGAGGGAGGAGGAAGGAGGGAGGAGGAGGAGGAGGAGGAAGGAGGAAGGAGGAGAGGGAGGAGGGAGGTGGAGGAGAAGAGGGGAGAAGAGAGGAGAAGAGAGGAGGAGGGAGGAGGAGGAGGAGGAGGAGGAGGAGGAGGAGGAGGAGGAGGAGGAGGAGGAGGAAGGAACACCCCGCCGCTCCCAGGCCCCCCGCCCTGCGCCGCCTCCCTCGGGAGCGCCGTGCCGAGCGGTCGCGCTCGAGCGGCACGGCGACCCACAGCCGAGCGCTCGGTGCGTGCTGGTCGCCACGTCGCGCTGGTAGGGCAGCGCGCCATGGGAGGTGCGCAGGCCTCGTGGCGCCTGCACGAGCCCAGAGATCCGACGCTCCAAAAAAGTAGGAGCGGCGGGGGTTGGGGCCGTTTTCGGCTTCTGGGGGCCCCCACCGGGCCTCGGGGCCGTCCAAAAACAACCCGGGGCGAACAAAAGCAGCCCTGGGGAAGCGGTCCAGACCCCTGGGGGCCCACGGCCGTCCATGGGGGAAGCGGGTCCTGAGGACAACGGGCTCTGAGGTCTTCCGCCGTCTTTTCGGGCTCTCGGGGCCTTCCGAGGGCCCCGGGACTGTCAGAACACAACTCAGAATGAAGAACCGGTCTTGGGGCAGGGCTGGACCTAGACGGTGGTTTTGGTGATTTCGTGGGCCGTTTTCGTTTCGACTTCGTCTTGCGGTAAAGGCGGATTCGAGACAAAAGCGAGGGAGCACGAAAACACATTGAAAACGAAAACCACTGTTAAGGTTCAGCCCTGTCTTGGGGGAAGGCCCCAGTGCCCAGGACCCGTTTCCCTCAGCACCCGCTTCCCCCATGCGGAGCTGGCCCGAGGCGCAGGCAGGGCCGCCTGCGCGACGCCTTGCGCCACCGACGCGTCGCTTCGGAGGGGTCATAATAAGGAGACGCTCCAGGGTACCCAGGATCCCCTGGATTCCCAGGATCCCCTGTATTCTCTGGATCCAGGGGATCCTGGGATCCATAATAAGGGGGTCCCAGGATCCCCTGGATTCCCCAATGTCCCACACGGTCTGCAGAGACGAGGGCCGCTGGATGCTCTGAAAATCTTGGTACGCATCCTGAGCAAAGCCTATCATGCCATCAACCGCGTCCTATCGATGTCCGCCTGCAGCGAGCACACGCGCGAAATGGGGAACGGAAGGAGTGGGGGCGAATGCCAACACCAGTCCCTACCCCTCTCGAACAGGACTCGCTGTCGGCTTCTCCGCGGACGTTGTCCACTTGAGACAGAAGGTCGGCCAGCAACGGCCGCTGTCGGTGTCGGACCCTCACCACTAGGCGTGGTGCTCTCGCCTCAGCTCCGGCCACATCCGTATTTGGGTATTGTGCTGCCGTTCGGGCGCCAGCCACAGTCGCATGCTGGGACACCTCTGATATGCATCTTGGAGGGGCTGTTGGTGTTGATCGGGGGGTTGTCCAGGGCAGTTGTTGGATGGCTGTTGGTGTTGATCGGGGGGTTGTCCAGGGCAGTTGTTGGATAAGCTTCCCTTCCACTGACGACCGCACCGCGCCCATGTTTCCCGCACCCATTGCGGGCGTGCCAGTGCACCAGTGCAGGGCCCAGACGCTCAGGGCGACGGCGCGCCCAGCCCAGCAGCACGCATCTTTTTGTTTTTTGTTTTTTTTGTTTTCTCTCTCTCTCTCTCTCGCGCTCTCGCCGGTGCTGGTGTGCGGCCGGGGCTGCTCTGCATAGGGCGGTGCTGGGCAGAGTGCCAGCTGCGGTGCTGGGCAGAGTGGCAGCTGGTGGCATACAGTTGTGGAGGACGATCAATGGAGAGGAAGCATGTTGCCAAATAATCTCCAGATGTCTAAAACATGTGTTAAACATGGCTTAAGCATCGAAACAATATGTCCAAAACATGTTTAGAACATGTTTTCTACATTTTCAACACATTTCAGATTCAATGGTCGGACTGTTAGGGTGTCCACTGCAGTGGCATCCACAGGCATACAGTGCGTCTCCGAATTCTTCGGATGCCCGGCATCGTTGCTTGCGAAATCAGGCCCATCCGTTGGCTGAATTTCTTGGAAATTCCCGCGAGGCTTTCTTGAGCCGTCTTGGAAGCCTCGAGGACCGTCTTGGGCTTTTGAAGGTCCCTCTCGGGCAGTTTCGGAGCTCCCTGCAGCCGTCTGGACGCAAGGCTGAGCTGAGAAGGCGAAATCAGTTTGTGTGGGGCGTGTATACACGTACATGAACAACGTAGGTGGTTGACAAGCGTTGGCTGTCTTGGGCCTCTCTTGGAGCGTCTTGGAACCTCTCTTGGAGTCCCTTGTGGGCCTTCGGGAGCCTCTTGGGGCCTCATGGAACTTCCCGCTGACGCCCTGCGCCTTTTAGGGCGCTTCTTCACGGGATCTGTAGAGGAATCTGAAGTGTCTTTTGGGCGGGCGGAGTTTCCGGAAGGAGCACACACAACCACCCCGCGAGCGCCCAGAAAGTTCCGGGCAATGCCCAGAAACCAAAACAAATTGCCCATGAAGATGGGGGTCGGGGCTCTTTATATTCCACCAAACCTTGAAACATTCACAGCACCCTACAGCCCCTGGGAACACACTTATGAGCCTTGGGGCGCTCGCCCACGTTTTGAAGGCACGGTGGCGGATTCAATATTTGAGTTGTGGATGCTTTGTTAAGACGGATGCATGATTTGCAGACCAATGGATAGCAGTTGTATTTCAAAGGGGTTGTTCTCCAAGCAAGCAAGAAGGGCGCCGTTGGTATTGGGGCAACCGGCCAGGTCCCTGCCCTCGGCTGGGCCCAGATTCTCGTATACTTCGGGCTTGTTGAGTATACTGGCGGGTTCAGCGATTACCAGCCTGGTGGGACAGCATGGGAGGGTCAGTCGTTTCCGCTTTCTTGTGCTCATGCCAGGTTTCTTTCACGCGGGGACGCACGCGAAAACGAGAAGAGAGCCAGAGTTCTGCGACACGGGGAGGAGGTGGCATACACGTATTCAAGATCACGGAGGTGCCGCGCCGTTGATGAGGAGTTTGAGAGGTGCAAAGAGACGAACCGATGTCGAACACGAGTGGACCTGCAATACGGATATCTCGCTTGCCTCGTGAGGAATTGGGGGTGAGGTCAGGATGTTCGCTTCGTGGGCGCCCCCATGCCGCCTCGTTGCCGCCAGTGTCCGCCCTTTGCACTGATTTGCATTGCATTGGTTAGTGTGGCTTAGTCTTGCTTGGCATGGTTATTCCTTGTTTGGGGTTGCTAGGTATTTCTTGTCATTGTTCTGCACTGCCTGGCATTACGTTGTGTTGTTTTGTGTTGCGTTGTGTTGTGTTGTGTTGATTTATGTTGTGTTGTGTTTATATGCATTGCTTGAGCTTGGTTGGCATTGATTTGCGCTGCATTGCTCTGCTTTGCCCTGCACTGCTTGGCGTTACTCTGTGTTGCTTTGCGTTGCACGTCCAAGGTTGCACTAATCCATTTTGTTGGGCCATGCTGCAATCAGTGCCGTTGTTGCGGTCGTAGTGTGCGGGCAGTTTTTTGAGAGACGGAGCCCGCATTCAGAGTCGGTGGAATGGTATAAACCCCCGGGTCATAATTCGAATGTTCGTGGTATTCGCCCATTGAGTGTGGCAGTGTGATAAGTTCAAGGAGAAACGCTCCGCGTATGAGCCTCGACATTGTCAACGAGGTGCGCAGGAGGACCAATCCCGAGAATCTCTGAACGGACGCCGATCATTCGAACGCTCCCGTTGTAGTGGCAGTAGTCGTTGCCGGCGCAGTACCAAGGGTGGTTGCAGAACATTGAGGTTGATATTAGTAAGAGGCAGAGGCAGCGGCAACCACGTAGAATCCATGAGTCGACATGCACGCAGAAGGTGAAGTTGAAGATGCCGATACCACTTGTACAGACAGAGGCAGAGGCATACACGTATAAGCAAGACGTCGAATGGAAAACGGGAGGCTATGTTCAGGCAGGATAATGGATAGTAGCAGGCGTCGACACATACTTGTAAGTATACATTGAAACCGAATTTCGAGCACAAGCGTACGTGTACGTAAAGGGTTGTTGATGATGAATGGTTGAAGGAACAAGCTGGAGAGCAGCAGGACAGGGATCTGCGAGAAGAGGGAAGTAGGAGTCGGAGGAGCAGGAGGAGGAGGAGGAGGACGAGAAGGAGGAGGTTTTGGGAACACCACGAAAAGGAAAATGTAGGTGCAATCGAAGGAAGATACGCAAGAGCAGAAGGAGACAGGGGGACGGAGGGGGCGACAGAGATGAGACGACATGGAGGAAGGAACAGAGGACTTCATGGAGGAATCGCAGGATGAGGAGGCAAGCTGGCAACAATCGCATGGATAATCGCCGTAGCGCTGGCAATTGGTGGAAAGGTGGCGCCCCCGGGGACTACGGCTGGAAGGTCCTCACGTCGAACGATCCCGTAGAGAGGAGAAGGAGCCGCCGTCACTTCCTGCTGGCATCGCAAGCTCCTCCTCCTCCTCCTCCTCCTCCTCCTCCTCCTCCTCCTCGCAGTGGCCTCTCTGCAGAAGGTGGGGTGCCGTTCCGCTGCCGCCCAGACCCCGTGGCGCCGCACCGCAGCAGCACGCGCACACAAGTGTCGGCGGTGCCCCGTGCGGAGCGGGGCCTCGAACCCAGGGGGAAAGCCCATCCTGGGGGTGTCCGTGCTGGCGGCACCGCCGGGGTTGGCCGTGAAGAGTTTCCCCGGGATGTACCGAGCTCCCCTGGAATGCACGATCCCCCCCCTCGGGGCTCAAGAGACGGGGGTCAATGCAAACGGGGGTCGTTCAATGCGCCAGATCTTTCAGGATCCTGCAGGGCCAGGGTTGCACTGACCCAGGCTTGGGTGCAGAATCCTACAGTATCCTGCAGGATCTTGCGAGATCCTGCAAGGCCCGACTGACCCGTGTGTGGGTTGACCGGGGTCAGAAGATCCCCGACCCCCCCAGGAAAACTTCCAAACACCGCCGTTGGGGCAAACATCTGCATGTCTGGGAGCGCCAGGCGGTTGTCTCGGTAGCGCTTCGGAGCGCCAGCGAGGAGGACCAGGAGGAGGGAGTGAGAAGGGAGGGAGGTCCCATGATCGAGGTAGTTTACTACGGGTTTGTGGAAGGATCTTCTGGGACGGTGATGCATGTGCCGATGCCGATGCCGAGAGAAACTGCGACGACGAAGACGACGACGAGGACGACGACGCGAAGACGACGACGACCACCACCACCACCACCACCACCCCACACTCCCAGGGGGCACCGCCCTCCCCTTCCCCCACCTCCACCCCCACCCTATTCCCACAAAGGGCAGGGGGGGCGAGTGTGGGTCGCCAGCCGCTCCAGGAGAGCACCTGGTACGAACGCCCCCTGGAAAGGGGCAGGGGAGGGTCTAGGTCGTCGGTGGCACGTGGTGCGACTGGTACGAAAGCCGCTGGGAAGGGTGGTACCGTCGACATGCATGCTGCCGAGGAGAAGGAGAAGGATGGGAAAGACTTGATCTAGGAAGAGGCTAAATAATTGGAGGAAGATGATGTGGTGGATGATGTTGATGATGATGGTGATGCTGATGATGATGAGAATGATGATGATAATGATGATGCTGATGATGATGATGACGACGATGATGATGATGATGGTGATGGTGATGGTGATGATGATGGTGATGGTGATGGTGATTGTGATGGCGATGGCGATGGCGATGGCGATGGTGATAGTGATGGTGATTGTGATGGTGATGGTGATGACGATGATGATGATGATTACGATGATTACGATGATGCTGATGATGATGATGATGATGATGATGATGATGATGATGATGATGATGATGATGATGTCGGTGGTGGTTATGTAGATGATGAGGATGAGGGTGAGGATGGGGATGAGGATGAGGATGATGGTGATGATGTTGATGATTATGATAGTGGTGACGATCATGATGAGGAGGAGGCGGAGGAGGAGGAGGAGGGAGATAGAGGACGCAATGTTCGGAGGAGGAGGAGGAGGAGGAGGAGGAGGAGGAGGAGGAGGAGGAGGAGGAACGGGGCGAGGAAGACGAACCGGAGCATGAAAGGAGAGCGGATTCAGCGAAAGGAGGCAGCAGCACCGCGGGGCAGTACAGAGGGCCGGCAATTCTGCTGGAGTGGCAAAGCTCTCCGATGATATTCGATCTCTTCACCGGCCTCCTCTCTTCGCTGTCGTCCTCGTGCCCCTCCCCTCCGCTCCCAATCCAGGGCGCGCTGGGCGTATACCCAGGACTCTCGACTGAATACCTCTAGGCCGCCCACATTGGGCCCGAGTAGATGAGGCCCGAGGATCGCGCCGCATCGCCGATGGATCGGCGATGTGGCTCGATGCGGAGCCCGATTTGCTTCACGTCGACGTCGCCGATGCATCACCGACGCCGCTAACCCATTGCAGGTGCATCGCCGATGCATCGGCGATGCGGCGCGATCCTCCGACCCCATCTACTCGGACCCCATCTGGGAGGCCTCTATTCCGCCCCTCCCCTCCGCTCCGGATCCAGGGCGCGCTGGGCGTACTCTGTATGCCCAGGACTCCTGACTGAAGGCCACTCTGCGCTCAGCGGGGGGCTGCGTGCTTCGGGCCGCTCCCGAGAGCTGGGTCGAAGCTGGGAGTTCTTCGTTGGGAACTGTTGGTTGGGAATCCTCTGTAGGGAACTCTCAGTAGGGACATCTGTTTGGGGAATTCTTATTAGAGGAGGAGGAGGAGGAGGAGAAGGAGGAGGAGGAGGAGGAGGAGGACTCAGTAGGGAGTTCTTGGTAAGGACTCCTTAGTAGGGACTTCGCATGAGGGAATCCCTCGCAGGGAGTCCTGCGCAGGGAATGCCGAGGAGGGCTGCAGGGATCCCTGCAGTGCTGGGGGCCCCCTTCGATCGCCGTGGCCAACAAAAAAAAAGCCCCGTCGCCTCTGCGCCGTCCTCTCGCCAAAGAGCGCCGGAGGTCAACGGACCGCGCGAAGGAATTGTGACGCACCTCCCCTACAGGAGGGTGGACCTCTGGGCTGCTCGTCGAGAGGGTCTAGGCACGCCCCTCCCCCTCCTCCTCCTCCTCCTCCTCCTCCTCCTCCTCCTCCTCCTCCTCCTCCTCTAGTATGAATTCCCTACACAGAAGTCCCTACTAAGAGTTTCCCACAGAGGATTCCCAACCAACAGTTCCCAGCGAAGAGCTCCCAGCTTCGACCCAGCTCTCGCGAGCGGCCCGAAGCACGCAGCCCCCAGCCGGGACACAGAGTGGTCTTCAGTCGGGGGTCCTGGGCATACGCCGTGGATCGGGAGCGGAGGGGAAGGCCGAAATAGAGGCCTCCTAGATGGGGTCGGAGCAGGTGGGGTCGGAGGATCGCAGAGTGGCTTTCAGTCGAGAGTCCTGGACATACAGAGTATGCCCAGCGCGCCCTGGATCGGGAGCGGAGGGGAGTGGCGTAATAGAGGCCTCCTAGATGGGGTCCGAGCAGGTGGGGTCGGAGGATCGCGCCGCATCGCCGATGCATCGCCGTTGCGTTGCCGATGCGGCTCGATGTGGAGCCCGATGTTCTCTACGCCGACGTCGCCGATGCATCGCTGGCGTCGCGGATGCTTCGCCAATGTATCGGCGATGCATCGCCGATGCGGCTCGATCTTCCGACCCCAGCTACGCCGACCCCATCTAGGAGTCATCTAAATCATGCTGGAAATCAACAAATCGCGTGAATCAACTATGACGCAACTCCCTGAGGCATCTAGGCATGGCTATCTGGGGGAACCACTCGCCCCTCCTGTTCTGGATAATGAAGGTGCAGGCGAGGCAAACTCAGCGAACAGGGTGGAGAGCGTGATCGCGCGCGACACCGGCACAGTCGTTTTTGGCAACCACGTTGCCCATTCTCTCTCCCCCGCATCCTCTTCCTCGGTCCTCTTCGTCCAGGCCGTGCCTCACGAGTTCAGTGGCCGGGCGAGTTGTCTTGCAGTGCTAGCTGTTGTGCGAGTTGTGGGAGTTTTGTCGAACTGATGTAGTAGCCTGGTCAGGGCAGGAGGAGAAGGAGAAGGAGGAGGAGGAGCAGGATGAGGAGGAGAAGGAGCAGGAGGAGGAGGGGGAGCAGGAGGAGGAGGAGGAGGAGGAGGAGGAAGAGGAGGAGGAGACGCTCGACGCTGCGGACTCAAACGAGGACCCCACTCACAGCAGGGCGGGGACGAGGACCCCACTCACAGCAGGGCGGGGACGCAGAATCATTCGGCGGTCCTCATGGCAGCACAGTGGCCCTACTGTCGGAAACGTTTGGATCGCGCGTCGTTCCACAGGGTCTCGCCCACCACACTTCGGCGGGATACTCGGCCACGCGCCGAGGGGGGGAGAGGGGGGGGGGGCAAGGCTTCTCGGAGGCAGCCTCCTTCTCGGAAGCCTTCCCACCTCCCCCTACCCCCCTCCGCGCGCCGCCATGATACGGTCAGCCCGAGGTATAAGATCGAGGTCGGTTCGGGGATGGTGCCCTAATGTTCCTTCGTGCTTGTTGGATGTTCTTGCTTATCCTGGGGGAGGGCACCCTCGAATGTGCTTCGGTTTGGGCCGGCGGAGGGTCTCATCGGCGTCACCCCACCATACTTATACTATAGGTGCGTCGCCCCCCCCAGGGGAGACGCGCGCACCGACAAATCTCACTGTGTATGCGCCGTCGCGGGCGCTTTCTGGCCACACCGCTCGGGAAACGATGTACTACAAGATGGGTATAGTAGATGTTTGGGTCGGACGCGCGCCTCCAAAGAGAACATAATTATATTACTGGTCTGTATTTGTACCTCCAACCATGTTCTCGAAGGATGCGTTTCTGTCCTAGGTCCGGCTGGGCGCAAACCGCCGGCCACCTGCCCACTCCCAGGCGCCCACGTCCCGAGCCTTGCCCTCTCGCCCCGCGGAGCGGAGCGACACGCTGTCCGCCCGCAGGGCACAGCGTGGCGATTCCTCCTCCTCCTCCTCCTCCTCCTCCTCCTCCTCCTCATCATCATGCAGATCGAGGTCGCCTCGGGGGACGCTCCCCCCGTCATCTACTGGGACATCCCGAAGCTCGAGCACAACCACATGGACGTCGCCCGCCTCCGCGAGGCGACCAAGGAGATCACCCACCCAGTCGAGACCAGCCAGTGGTCTCTTTAGCGCGTGCTCCCTCTTTCGCTCCTCCTCGCCGTCTTCTTCCTCATCGGCGAGTCCGCTTCGCTTTGCCTCCTGGAACGCCAGGGCGCTCTTGCAAGCTGGAGGAGAGAAAGCAGATCTGAAGCGCCAGTACCTCATCAAGCTCCGTCTGTCTGAGACGGTCCTTTCTCTCCAGGAGGTCCACCAGGATCATCATCAACTTGTCTCTTTCGTGGGCACAGTGGCACGTGATCTTACTGTGCGCTCTAGCTTTTGTAACGCTGATGCTGGCGGCAGCATCCGTGGGGGCGTCGCAGTCGTACTTCCTCCTCTTCATCCTGGTGTTGTCGTCCATCCTCCTGTCCCTCTCGTCCCTGGGCGTGTTCTTCGAGTTGATATTTCTTTGGGAGATGTATGCCTTCAGGTGTACAACGTACACAATCATGGTCTTTCTTTGGCAGAAGTTGCTCGTATTGCACGTGATATCCGTGCTGCTCGGGCTGCGTCTTAGCGAGCACCAGACTCGCATATGGTCGTGGTCAATGGCGACTTCAACTTTTCCTCGCACGAGTCCGTCCTGCTGCATATGCCCGCAGCGGCTGTGCGGCGGAGCGCGCGGCAGCACCACGCCCGCGCTCCGAAGTGGCGGGACGCTCTTGCCCCGCTGCTTGAGATTGGAGAGAGCGTGATCCACCGCCGCTTTACTGTGGAAAATTGCCAACCTTTTCCTCCGGAACCCGGGGGTCGCCCCCCCCCCCCCTCCGAAAATCCCCCCCCTGCTGGAACCCCCCCCCTCCCCCCCTCTCCCCTGGCGGCAAAACCCACCCTCCCCTAACCCCTCCCCCCCCTTCCTATGAAAACCGGGGGGGTCACTACCGGTTCGAACCCCTCCCCCCCGGGGCCCCCCCCTCCCCCTCCGGATCCGGAAAACCGGGGGGGGTCACTACGGGTTCGAACACCCCCCCCCCTCGAAAACCGGAGGGGGATCACTGCCGGTTCGAATCCCTCCCCACCCCCCCCCACTCACGGCCAGCAAACGATTCCCAGTCCCTACCACCGTGCGCATCACATCCCCCATTGTTGTTCCCAGCACCATTGTCCTCAC